TTCACAATGGCCTTGACCTTAGCAAAACTTTCTTGAAGGCCACGCTTTCCAATGAAGCACCCTAGAGAGGAAATTTCTTCCGCGCCGAGAATGTACTTATCGGCATTAGTATACAGATTATTCGTGCGCATGCACTCGAGCACCGCTCTGAAACGGACGATGTGGATTTCTGTCCTCACGTGCCCCGCATGACTGAGACGAAGATGTCGTCGCAGTATGTTTGTGCATTACGTCCGGTGGGGCCTGAACAATTGCGTCACAAGACGATTAAATGTTGCTGGTGCATTCAACAGCTCATAGGGCATCGCCAGCCACTCTCCGCTGTCAGCGGAATATCACGCGCTCTCATGATCAATTGGTAACATCCATCGACCAAGTCGAGTGCACTGTACTTTGTACAGCCAACCAAATTGTTCTGGAAATTTTTTTTTCTAGGAATCAGCGTTTGTGCCGGAATTGTGGCAGCATTTATTATAAGCGTGAACGATACGCCACTTGCCGTTCGACTTCCGAACACAAAACGTGGGTGTTGAATGGGGAGACTTGCTCTCACGCATTATTCTTGTGTCATGCTTTGCGCGGAAGAAGAAGTCAATGATGTCACACTGCTTCTTATGCGGGGGTCATTGGCGTGTCGCGCAGTATTTGGTAGGTCGATCTCATGATGTACACCTGGATCCAGAGGCAAGACCGACGGCGGGTCTTTAAGACGACGTCTTGAATTGCTTTACCAAAAAAAGTACGGATCCGAGGGAGTTTTCAGGATCGAAGATCCATTTCGTGCATTCAGCACCCTCTTGGTGCTCTCCAGGAAAGCTTCTCCCAGAAGCGACGACGAGTTGATCTCCTCTTCAGCTCGTGTGATGACCACATCGGCTAAGTGGCTTGCCTTCAGGCATCGCCGAACTCTTCGAAGGGCATCTCGTCCAGCTCAAGAAGAACATCCACCGCAGGGATAGCCTCGAGGGTGACGTCGCCGTCTTCCTCTCCCGTCATACCGTTGACGAGGGTGTATAGCTGTGCGCTTTCGTCTACGGTAGACGTATCCTGGGTCAGAGTCAACGCCCTAAGTCTTGCAGAGAACATACGGCTTCGCCGTCGCTTCTCCACAGAGGATTTACATCTCGGCGAGACCGTGGAAACTCGCACTCAGCGTCGTCAATGTGAGACCCACTTCCTGCTCCACCAGAGCCTTGATGTTATTAACACTATCCGAACTGCTAGTTTGCAG